AAATCCTGTGTCTCCGTCACCAAACAGTTCCCATTGGCTGGCTTGTTGTTATGGCTACTCCAGTTCATAATATACTGACTCATTGCAGCATCCCCACAGTCACATGATCAAAATTTGAATGCTTGGCAACTGACTCACATTTATGACGGTTGCGGTGTCACGTGGTCACCCCTTGTGACCTTCTGATAAGCAATGTCAACGGGGAAGCAGGATTCACTTAACAACTAACTTAACAGCTGCAGTGTTTCACTTAATGACTGTGACAAGGAAGTGGGCAAAAGTCACTTAACAACTGTCTTGCTTAGCAACACAAACCTTGGGCTCAGTTGCGGTTGTAAGTTGAGGACTACCTGTAGTGGCTTATCCATCTCTGATAGAGGATATTTTCAGAAATGTGCGAGCTGAAGCCATGAACATTTGCAAGAGGTTGACAAAAGCTGCGTTCGACACCAACAGCTGTCTCTTTTGGATGTGCGTGTGAGTGACAACATGATCCAAAAAGGTGGGGTTTGTGTCACTGCAGGGGATACTGTTTAGCTCCCTGGAAAGAACTGCTTGTTATGGACCAACTTCCCCTTTAATGCCACGTGTAATCTCTGAAATTTCAGTCTTGAAATCTTTTTAACTCTTGGTCCTTAAAAATGGCCAACAAAGAGAAATTTTGCTGTAATAGAATAGGAAAATTATCAACAGCGAGTAATTGTAGCAAATGGTTTACTGAGCCTAACTTCACTTAGATGCAAAATTATATTAAAACTAAGGCCTATCTGGTTCTGGCAGTTACATGCCGTAGTTTAATTGATAAACATAGTCCATACAAGTCACCTTTCAAAAATAAACCATAGAGATTGTCAGCATAGTTTAAGTACATAAACGTAAGTATATTTTTCCTCCTTTAGTACGGCAGTTGTGTTTGAAGTCCTGCTAGGAAGACAGTGCCAACTAACTTGCTTGACAGATTTCCCTGAAAGCTGTTCATTGTGCGCAGTTTGTGTTATAACCAACTGACAAGCCGTAACTTTTGCAGTTTGCGTATTAAGGGCTGAGTGTGACAAAGAAATAGTCGTACAATGCCATATGTTGTGTTTGAAAGCAAAATATTGTCTCTAACAGAAACACTGTGGTGAAAACCACCTCCCACCCACCTCCTTTTTAGGATGCTTTTTATGTATTTTTAATGTCTCGCTCTCTGTTGCTGAGGGACAAAAGAATGCATTCCACAGGTCTCGCAGCTCTTCCAAAGAGTGGAAGAAGAGGGGGTTTTCATGTTCCATTTCAAAATTACGCCATATTATTGAGCACTTCTGAGGTGTTGTTTAGACTGTAAGAGAAAGGGTGGTTGACTCAAAAGAGAAATAAGCATTTCTGTCAGTTAGTATATTTGTATAAAATGCAAATACTTGTATGTGAAAAGAAGGCCAGATGAGAATTTTCTTCCTCTGTCCTTCTGAAGTTGAAGCCATAAGAGTAGTACTATTTCTCCTTCCTTCCTTCCTTCCTTCCTTCCTTCCTTCCTTCCTTCCTTCCTTCCTTCCTTCCTTCCTTCCTTCCTTC